AGTCACATCGTATACACTCCCTTTACTACTCGTTTAATATCGGTCACATCGTATACACTCCCTTTACTACTCGTTTAATATCGGTCACATCGTATATACACCCTTTACTACTCGTTTAATATCGGTCACATCGTATATACACACCTTTTACTATTTGTTTAATATCGGTCACATCGTATACACACACTTTGCTACTCGTTTAATATCGGTCACATCGTATACACATCGTTTACTACTCGTTTAATATCAGTCACATCGTATACACATCGTTTACTACTCGTTTACTATTAGTCACATCGTATACACACCCTTTACTACTCGTTTAATCTCGGCCATAACTTATACACACCCTTTACTACTCGTTTAGTCTCAGTCACATCGTATACACTCCCTTTACTACTCGTTTAATATCGGTCACATCGTATATACACCCTTTACTACTCGTTTAATATCGGTCAAATCGTATATACATCCTTTACTACTCGTTTAATATCGGCCACATCGTATATACACACCTTTTACTATTGGTTTAATCTTGGTCACATCGTATACACATCGTTTACAAATCGTTTAATATCAGTCATATCGTATACACACCTTTTACTACTCGTTTAATGTCAGTCACATCGTATACACACCCTTTACTACCCGTTTAATCTCGGTCACATCGTATACACACCCTTTACTACTCGTTTAATGTCAGTCACAATGTATACACACCCTTTACTACTCGTTTAATCTGGGTTACATACAACTTTTACTATTCGATTAATATCGGTCACATCGTATATACACACTTTACTACTCGTTCAATGTCAGTCACATCGTATACACACCCCTTACTAGTCGTTTAATATCGGTCACATCGTATATACTCTCTTTATACTCTTTTAATATCGGTCACATCGTATACACACCTTTTACTACTCGTTTAATATCAGTCACATCGTATACACACCCTTTAGTGTGACTGATATTAAACGAGTAGTAAACGATGTGTATACGATGTGACCGATATTAAACGAGTAGTAAAGGGTGTATATACGATGTGACCGATATTAAACGAGTAGTAAAGTGTGTGTATACGATGTGACCGATATTAAACGAGTAGTAAAGGGTGTATATACGATGTGACCGATATTAAACGAGTAGTAAAGGGAGTGTATACGATGTGACTGAGATTAAACGAGTAGTAAAGGGTGTGTATAAGATATGGCCGAGATTAAACGAGTATCGTATACACACCCTTTACTACTCGTATAATCTCGGCCATATCTTATACACACCCTTTACTACACGTTTAATCTCAGTCACATCGTATACACACCCTTTACTATTCGTTTAATCTTGGTCACATCGTATACACATCGTTTACAAATCTTTTAATATCAGTCATATCGTATACACACCCTTTACTACTTGTTTAATATCGGTCACATCGTATATACACACTTTACTACTCGTTCAATGTCAGTCACATCGTATACACACCCTTTACTAGTCGTTTAATGTCAGTCACATCGTATACACACCCTTTACTACTCGTTTAATATCGGTCACATCGTATATACACACTTTACTACTCGTTCAATGTCAGTCACATCGTATACACACCCTTTACTAGTCGTTTAATATCGGTCACATCGTATATACACCCTTTACTACTCTTTTAATATCGGTCACATCGTATACACACTTTTTACTACTCGTTTAATATCGGTCACATCGTATACACACCTTTTACTACTCGTTTAATATCGGTCACATCGTATACACACCCTTTACTACTCGTTTAATATCGGTCACATCGTATATACACCTTTTACTACTCGTTTAATATCAGTCACATCATATACTCACCGTTTACTGCTCGTTTAATCTCGCTCACATTTTTTTTTTTCACTAAAGAACAACGTGGCACAAAAACTTCTTATTGAAAAATTAAAGAGAAGATCCCTCCGATTTCATTTTCTTAATATTCATTTCTTCCAGGAATAAAAACCATATACAGGAACGACTTAGTTAATACTTAAATTCTTGTATGGTCACGTAAAGATTTACGATAACTTATACTATGTTCGAAATAGAACACTTTCCTATATACAATTATCATTAATTTTCCGAAAAAATTAAATCTGTGATAGAACAGCACTGGAACGCAGGCCTTAAAAAATGGAAGTGTTCAAAGCAACTAAACTATCGAGCTCGAGCCATCTGAACTTCTAATTTCATTTCATTGGTTTATCAAAATAATCCTATAATGAGATAGTCGAATTCCGTTCTGTCTGATTTATCACTTCTTCGTAAAATTTTGAAAATTTAATAGAATTACAATGTTTGAAACTCAAAAACCTACACAGTAACTTAACTTTTTTACTGTTCATCAACCTATCACATTTCTTTTATTATCAAACTGAATCACATATTATGTATATACGTACAGTAACTTACCTTTTTTACTGTTCATCAACCTATCACATTTCTTTTATTGTCAAACTGAATCACATATTATGTATATACGTACAGTAACTTACCTTTTTTACTGTTCATCGACCTATCACATTTCTTTTATTATCAAACTGAATCATATGTTATGTATATACGTACAGTAACTTACCTTTTTACTGTTCATCAACCTATCACATTTCTTTTATTGTCAAACTGAATCACATATTATGTATATACGTACAGTAACTTACCTTTTTTACTGTTCATCAACCTATCACATTTCTTTTATTGTCAAACTGAATCACATATTATGTTATACGTAGCGAAGCATTCTGAATTTTGTTTCCAAATCAACCGGCTTGTCTTCTAAATTTTGAAATTGCGGTGTCATGACATAAAACAGTTTTCATTACGTGTCATAAAACAATGTTCATTGCGATGTGTAAGCAATGTTTCTGGAAGTTAACGAATGTTATTCATTTTGTTATGTGTTGTTTTTTTAGCCATATAAAAGATCAAATTAAATGAATGTTGGAAAACAAATATTTTAGGTAACTTCTGACCAGAATATTAAACGCTCGTGTGGCCTTCATTCGTCGATAACACAATATTCGATTTTCTCTTGTTTTTCCTGCTGTAATTTGATAAGTGAAATTATACCCCTGAGCAATAGCTTATGTATTGTTGATTTTGAAAATAACTTTAAAGCATGGTCATAAATTTTACTGAAACATATTTCCTTAAAGATTGTCTAAACATAAATATATATATATATTTGCGATGAAATGTACCAACTGATTGTTTATTACTTTGTCTATTTTTAGTTGCTGTTGTGGTGGCCTTTTTCGTTTGCTACGCTCCATTCCACGCGCAACGTCTCATGGCGACCTACGTGGTGGAGCCCTCAACGATAATGACTGTTATATTTGACGTATTAACGTACATGTCTGGTGTGTTGTACTACGTCAGTGCCACCATTAACCCTATCCTTTACAGCATAATTTCGTTCAAGTTCCGGCAGGCTTTTAAGGAAACTTTAGCTACATGCTGCGGACGACAAACTACTCGATCCCTGAACATCAAGGCAACCTCTAGATACATGTCACGCCACTCCACAGCATTCGAAACAACTTACCTAACAGTTCTCTCTGAGTCCTCACACCCTCATCAACGGAGTGCCTCCGCTTTCCCCCACTTTCAGTCTATGCCTGAGGCAGTAAAAAACAACTCCATCATGCAACAACATGCCTCCGTGTCCAATGTTTCTATCCCGGGAACCAACAGTGACGACAGAAACAAAAACATGACCTTCATCAGTAACAGTAGTCTTCATAGGATAGAAGATGGCGCTTTTGACGAAGTGGTTGACATTAATTAACCCATTCGCTGCGTTGTGCTATAGAATCAGCGGTATCTAATCTATTTTCCTTTATCCCTGCAAACATGTAGTTTGGCTTGGCTACTGACATATTAATACATCCCAATGGAGTTAACGGTTATATCATGTGTTTTGTAGATCAGATGGCAAAGTTCATGTGATTGCCGCGTTTCTTCAAGTAGAATAACGTCCTTTGGTAGAAGTTTTTTGATAAACTCTGAAGCTTCTCCGACATGCATTACTTTAATCCTGCAGTTATATATTGCCGTTTATCCATGATAAATTGCAAAAACAACAACAAAAACAGAATCAAGTATGCTTTAACTTAATCAAGAGTTTTCTCTCTCTCTCTCTGTATTTTCAGAAAAATCAAAGCAGTGATTGTCGGGAAATCTATAAGATCTGTCGCTAATAATTTGTGAACACTAGGTGCCTGTAAAGTGTGTGCTATATGTTTCACAGTTAATAAATTACATAGCTCAGAACAGTAGTCCTAAAAATGTTGATTAAGTAATTTTTTACTGTTACTGAAAGAAAAACTGATACAACATTACAAATCAAAGAATTCTAGTTTGGGCTTATAAGTAACCCTTTCTGATGGTTTTGAAACTATGAATCAAACTTCGTAACAATGCAACTAAAATACAAACTAAATGTTTCGTATAGAATATAAGCTCTATTGTCGAAGTAAAGTTGTTAAATATAAAACTTTTTAACCATTAAGCCCTCCGACGGCTTAGCGGTAAGAGTGAGGTCTTATAATGCTAAAACTCTGGTTTCGATATTTGCGGTGTGCAGAGTACAGATAGCCTTTTATGTAACTTTGTGCTTAACAATAAACGAACAAACAAAACCTGTTAATAAACTGAAAGATAAAACCTCTACAAGATGAATGTTGAAATGCATAATAACAAACAGAATTAATAAACTGAATATAAAACATCTATAAGATGAATGCCGATATGCGACATAAAAAAAGTCTATTAATAAACTGAAGTTAAAACGAACGACTGTAAGATAAACGTAGACATGCAATATAACAAATTATGTTAATAAACTGAAAATAATGGTTTACAACGACATTGCACGTAGCATGACAGTCTTATTAGTTAATAATCTGAGAAGAACAATTTGTCAAAGTTACAGAACGCCAACAAGTGTTGATAAAAAATTGTAAAGTATGATTGATTAAAACCTTTCTACAATGGTGACACGTGATATGACAAGTGTTGTACATAAACTGAAATGTGCAATTGATTAAAGTATCTAATTATGAATGGTAGCACGTGATAGAACGAGTATTAAAAAACTGCGAAATTAAGACCTTAAGGAAATAAAGAAAAAGAACCGAAAGTCTCAAACTCAATACTCACTATGCGAGTAAATAAAGCATTGGACAGGTTTATTAACATAGAGATAGCTTTGTTAACATATAGACGCACTTGTTAAAAAATATTTTTGTAAGCAATATTTTAGCAGTATATTTTAGCTACAGAGGTAGAGATGTTGTGAAAAGTACCTTATTCGAAAATATACATTACATCTATTACATAAACATGCCTTAATGGTGCTTTTCATTACACATATTTCTAAATAATTATGTTTTTTGCAAGAGAAAACAAAATCGAATTATCTTTCCTCCTACGTACGAGTTTCATTAAGAAATAACGTATACAGTTCTAAATATCACTTTATAAACTTTTATTTCACCTAATTCTATACATTTTATAAGATAATTTTAAACCTTTTTTATCTTATATTGCTGACAATGTCACATTTTTTCAGTGAGATTTCGTTTTACAAGACAAAAACTATCGATTTCAAAATCATAATGAGAGGCAAACACTAGTATAATTTCATGCTAAACCTGAAAGTTATTTTTCTATGTTTGTACATAAAATGTTTACAATTTTAAAAACAATAAAGTATTCTAAATCGTTATCTCATTACGTTTGAACAAAACAAGTAATTTTAGCTGTTATTGTTGTTTTAGTGCAAAACAAGAGAATAGGTATCGCAGCCCTGATTTTAGCGTTGTAAGTCTTAAAACTTATGTAGGTTGCGTGTTCGAATATTCGTCTCACCAATCATTTTTGCCCTTTCAGCCGTGGGGACGTTATAAGTGTGGTCAATCTCACCATTCTTTGGTAAAAGACTAGTCCAAGAGTTGGCGGATGTTGGTGATGACTACTCTTCCCTCTAGTCTTTCACTGCTAAATTATGGACGAGTAGCGCAGATAGCCATCGTGTAGCTTTGCGTGAAATTTAAAACAAACCTAAAACTTAACAGTGATCCATTAGAGTACAGTATCTTTAGAAGTTGGTTTTTAATAAACCGTATAAGAGTTTTGTGTATCTTGTTGGTAACTAATTTGGAAGTGTTGTTTGTAAATGAAAGTTTCGATTAAAATTGATCTGTTTATAACCATTTAACCTCTACTTAAAAAGAAATCCGGAACCAAACTGTACTTATTACCCTGTGTATTCATTTTACACAACCAATATTAGTTTAATAGTTATTACGAACAACATGAGTTCAGTCACTTCACTTCACACATTCTTACCGTGTATGATATTTTATCCTGAATTTAGGCCACAATCACTTGGCTGACAGCATGAACAGCTCCAGCTACAGAACCAGTGGTGGAAAGAAACGTGTATAAACGAATGTCTATATGTCTAAAATTACAAAAGGTTAGTATGAATTCGAGTACAGGAAAACTCTCTTTCGCGAATTTGGTGAGTATTTATCAATACAGACTTGTTGTTGGCACTTAGTTTGTAAATTACAAGATCTACTTATTTCCTTTTAGTTTTCAATATCACAATCAATATTTTCATACATAATATTTCTCTCCCATCCCGTATTTCAAGGAGAATAACATTATAATTTTTATGGAGACTGTAGTGTCGGGGTTTGAATTTACTATGCAGTCTAAAAGATCATTAGAAAACTTTTAAAATCAAATTTCTTTAACCTGATTTAACTCTAGAGGTAATTCTTGGTGTACAAGAAGCTCAATCAGTAGAATTGCACCAGTAACTCGTTAATAAAATCCAAGCTAGTTTATTAACTTGTTGAATATTATATTCCGGTCCTTGAACAGCATAAAATAAAACTATTGGTGAAGTGATAGTTTCAATCTCTATCTCTATAGAATCCTTATTAAGTTTGGCAGCCTAGAATATCATTTATCCACTTTCAACAGCTAAGAGTTAATATTTCCAAATTTTATAAATTTAATTAAAAAACAAAGTATGGAACATAATCCAATAAAGCTATTTGACACACTTGAAAGCTTTTTCTTTAGATACGTAAAAAAAAATAAAACCGACGAACTTTATGAATTTATAATCTTGATTTTGAAACCCGATTTCTAGTGTTGTAAATCCGTAGACATACCGTTGTGCCACTGGGGGGCTAACTTAAGTAAGGTAAAGAATGTATTTCTTGTACGCTAATATAATTAACACTGGTTTCAAACAATAATGTACAGGATCTCGTGTAGTATATACGATGATAAAATCTAGACTATTTTCTTCTCCAAAAATCTGTAACCAGTATAATGACAAAAATAATACCTGAGACAAAAAAAAAGAAACAAGAATTTTAGTGATTTATTGAAGAAAAATTATAAAATAATCCAATGTCCGTGTTTTATTTCAAAAAGCATCACATAAGTCCACAGAAACGTGTAACCTGCCAATCAGAAGCAGGTTGGAGATTACTAGGATTGACAAAGAATGTCTGTACTCTGTTTATAAAAAAGAGGAATTTAAGCTAACCCTGAAGTCACTATCCCTGTCACGAGGCCTTTGTTATTGAGAAACCATTGTGGTTGTTGGTTGTTTTGAATTTGGCGCAAAGCTACACGACGGCTATCTGCACTAGCCGTCCCTAAATTAGCAGTGTAAGACTAGATTCGTCACCACCCACCGCCAACTCTTGGGTTACTCTTTTGCCAACGAATGGTAGGATTGATTATAACGCCTCCACGGCTGAAAGAGCGAGCATGTTTGGTGGGACGGGGATTCGAACCCGCGACCCGTAGATTGCGAGTCGAGCACTCTAACCACTCCCTAAACCTCTGGAAAAACATTCAAAACATTTATATTCACCTCTATAATAGTGACTACGGGCTGACTAAAGCAACGGAAAAAGTCCAAATTATCAACTGCATAAGTAATTATGATGGCTACCAGGCTGTGTTGTACACTATCCTACCAAAAGTCATGGGGCACAGGTAGTTATGAATATAACATGTCTTTATTCCAAGACATTTCTGGTGGTTATGAGATCGGTGAAATTGATCAACCCAGTATAGCGTTAGTGTAGTGAAAATAACAGATAAAATATAAAGTTTGAAATGTATTTAGTAGGTTTTATAGATTGAAAAGTATTTTTAATCTTAAGATGAAAATCCCGTTGCTCACGGACTACTGAAAATAAATACTCGATATAATCATGTACAAATCTATTTTTAGTTTATCTAAAATACTTCACTAAAAATATGACTTTTTGTATGTGAAAAACTTATAATGTTTACTGAAAGACTGCCAAATTTTGTAAAGATATACTATTTTAAAAGTTACTAGTATCAAATCTATAAAGATTTTAGACGAGTACAAAGAAGTAACTCTTCAGTCAATTCGACCGACCCCATGTTGAGAGAGTTAATGTCATTTATTGCAATTTAATGTCTTAACAAATTGTAAAAATAATATTTTATATGTGTATAGTATATTTGAATAAAGCAACAACAACATGAGAATATATTTTATTTTGTGTTTATTTATTTTAATTCACCATAATGATATGGCCACTAGGACTACAATTGATGATAAACCCATAAACGGAACATTCACAGTAAAACGTTTTTCAACAAAATTATGTATAGTCATATCATTAATAATCTTATCAGGGTTAATTCATTTAACAATCTACGTTTTGACATATGCTTACAAGTGTAATAAGTGAAATATATTCAAAATTCCACATATTTAACAGTTCTGTTTGACGTATCATCTGATGTATGGAAACAGGCCCAATGGATTAAAATATTCTCCTTTTTCATTTCGACCAAAGTAGATACTGATCCAATGACTTCCCTGTTTAAGACTCGGATGTATAACTGTTTGTCTGCATGGTCAGGTGGTTTATCACTGGTGAAAACACCTCCAAGTTTTTTCTCATACACAAACCTTGGAGAGCATCAAATAAATCTCTATAGTGTTGATAGCATTATACATATCAGTTATGATGTTCCTAGACTGATCAATTTTTAAAATTGACTGGAATTCAGCATAGGCGAGAACATTTGTAGTGTTGACTAATGCTCTACCAAAACGTATTTCTATTCGTAATAGTTTTACCAAGTTAAAATGTGAATCCCAAGCAGATAGATTGGGTGTAATATCAAAGACAAAGAGTATATATCCTCCAGAGTATTTATCATATCCTATTTCAATTCTTTGATCTTGGAACTGTTT